TATGGCATTGAACTCCATATCTTGACAAAGATTGATTTGTTGTTTTCACGTGTTCTGCATTTTTTCATGTACAGAGCGATCGCTTGTTTGGTTTTTGGAAAATATGAAAACTCTTTTAAACTGTTCTCTGGGTAGAGGGTATCAATGAATCCTCCTAGGAACAAGTCTCCTGTTATTTCAAGTGTAACTCTTGGTAGCATAATGGCTTTAATCTGTTGATTTCTGCTAATAGGAATATATCCTTGTTCATTTGTACTCGCGTTTACCTCTTCATATAATGTGAGCCATTCTTTCTAGGTTATAGTAGTTTTGATTAACTTACTATCCAGTTGCTGCAATTTAAGTTCATCAAATTTTATGAGTGGAGTTTTCAAATGATGTTCTTTAGGAATACCAGTGTTACGAAATATTGGTACTCTCTCAGTGATTATGTTTTTAGCTTTTCAAAGATCATTCTTGCTTCAAATTCAGTTTTTGCCGTATGATAGTATTCAGGTGGCAAATCTTTTATTTTCTCAAAGCTATTATAGACTCTAATTTTTGGTCCGGTGTGTACCGTATACCAATTAGGTGCCCTTTCATCTTCGATAAAGGTTGATTGGGTCTGTTGATCTTTGACCAAAGCATCTTTGTATTCGGTTGTGGTTTTGGCTTCGCTTTTGCTATCAGACTCTGAGAGTCTTCCCTTCTCAGTCTGATTTTTCAACTGTATTATCTTTAATTTCTGTTTTAAGATTTCCAATTCATGTTCCTTTTGCATGATTTCCAATTTGAGTTCTTCAACTTGAAGATCCATTCTGGTCCTTTTTGCTTTTGATTTTGCAATTTTTTGATGATCTTGTTCGAGTAACTGCTTCTTCAATCAAATACCTGCAAATTCCCTTGTTAGACAATCTGCAAGATAATTTTTATCACCTTTTATGTGTTCAACATTGAATTGATAGTGTTTTAGGTGTAATTGCCACCTAATCAATCTACCTTGTTTGTAGTCTCCTTTAAATTCGTTT